ATATATATAACAGTGTAAGCCGGTCACACGTGGGATCGTTAAATAGTTTCAATAATATTGTTGTATTTTTCACGTCCTTGAACGGAAACATTACTCGTCTCTTTCTCATAGTATGTATATATATATATATAAAAGTACAGAGAGACACGTATATCATTATCAACCTACGTCGCGTTAAGAAAACACGTAAAATATATTTTTACTCTTGCAATGTAATATGCGATTAGGTTTTTAGAAATAGAAATGTTCTTAAATTCGTTTTAATTATCATTAACAAAATTGATTCATTTCTTATTTTTATTTCGATACGAATTAAAATTAACAATATTTGTAATGTTAATCTTTGATTGATCGATTGTAAGCTTTCGTTTTTGTTTAATTTATTTTGTTTAAATCCTCATTTTGAAATAATTCCAAATTCAGAATTATTCGAATAACCAAATCTATCGATGCGATGATTGATTGATCGTAATAATAAACAAAAAAGAAAAAATAAAATATATCAATTAATCGATCAAAATAAAATCAAACAAAAAAATGAATACAGAAAGAGGGTTGTTTAAAAATGGCCGATTATTGTAAATGGCTAACAGTTGATCAAGGCCCCCTACGTAAAGCTGTACGCCATCCTGAAGACATCAAGCACCTCGGCTGATTCCGAGCAGACCCAGGACCCGGAGGTATCGATACCACCCTCCCCTTCGCCCTTAAATCCCCAAAGTCCATCATATTTTTTGATGTCTTTCATAGTCGATCTGCACCATTGATTATGCTCGATTTATAAGCACCCTGTATTCAATATTTATATATATATAATTGACAAATATATATATATATATATATATATATATATATTATATATTTGTCAAACATATTATATAGCACGTTTCATTTTCTATTTAGGCAGCACAGCACTATTACTACTACAACAACAACTATAATTATACTGTTAAACGATATTGTTTAACCTATGAACTGCTCTGCTATTTTATTCTCGTTCGAATAGATTAAATTGGGCCATTAAATTCGTATAATATTATTTTTTTTTTTAATTAAAAATATTATTAACATATAACTATGATAAAAATCACATAAACTTATTAACTAAATTAATATACTTTACATATTCTTAAACGTGAATTATACAATGTGCTATTTTCAAACTTGCAGTTAATAGGTTAACTTTTCATTCTATTTTCACTCGAACATGTATCGATTATCAAATCAATCATCGACGATATCATTATCATCATCATGATCATCACGATCATTATTATCATCATTATTATCATAATTATTTACTTTTACATCGTATTACAAAATATATTTCTTTTTATTACCAAGAAACACGACGAATATAATTTCATCGTGATTTAATTAACGATAGAAATATTAAATCCTGATCAGAGTATTTCTTTAAATAGAAAAAAGCTATATACATATTATTTACTTGAATTCTTCTTTAGGACCAACGTGCGTGAAATTTAAAAATAATTTCTTTTATGAATCATATATATATATACATCCTTCGTTTTGCGTTCACAAAACGCGTACGAAGATGTACATTTTATAAATAGAAAAGAATTTACTCGAAATTTAACTTCATCGTCATCTCGAATATATTTCATTTAATTTTTATTTATTTTTTTTTTTGGTTTACATTTTTTCATAAATTGCATGTAAAAAAAAAAATCGCTTGCTACTTTTCCTAATACGTTAATCGTTTCATATGTTTCCTTTGATTAGAAAATTAGAACGCGCGTGTTTATTCTTCGTGATGTAGATTGAATGGCATGGTGCACGATTATCAATTTTTCATTCTATATTTTGTTTGAATTGTTTTTTTTTTTTTTTTTTTAATCAAATCGAAATATATATTAACACTATCTGATATCGTAAATCTGAGTATTTTATTGGTCGGAATACATTTAGTATCATTTAGAAATTTTAATTGTAAGGTTCAGTTTTGTTGTTGTTTATATTTTATTAATAAAGTATATAAAAGTATAGGTGAATGAAGAGTAAAATAAAGAAAGTTGGTTAAATGGTGACTACTTGAAATTTAACAATAATAATAAATAGTATAAAATAGTAAAAAAAAAATAATAGTAAATAGTAAAAAATATTTACTAATTTTCTACTACAAATATTTATTATTTTTAATACTAAATGATAGTAAATAGAGTAAAAATTTTTTTTTACATTTTATTATTTTTACAATAATATTAAATAATAGTAAATAGTAAAAAATATTTACTAATTTTAATAATATTTTATATTTTATATTTTCTGATTTTATACTAAAAATATTTACTATTGTAAATACTAAGTAATAGTAAATAGTAAAAAAAAAAAAAAATATACAATAATAGTAAATTTTAATAGGAAGGAGTTAATATATTTCTCAAACACATATACTATATATATACAGTATAAAAAAATTACTTATTAGTCAAATTTATTCAAACTTGTTTCTTTCGTTTAAACTTCTATTTTATTTTTGTAGGTATTTCGTTATGTGTGAAAATAAAATAAAAAAATAAAATTCTCAAAATAAAAGATCGTCTTGCAGAAATTTGCAAATTTTTTTAAAGAAAATTTTCGAGTTTATAAGAACGTTTGAGCATTTGTCATTGAAAATTAAATGAGTTTTCAAATGCTTGTAGAAAATGTCACTGCACTGAATCAAATTTATTTTCGATCTTGTGCGAAAGAGATGAGTCAGTTGAGTATCTTTTTCTTTCTTCGTCTTCTTTTTTACTCAGTCTCATATATAATTAATTAATTAAATAATTAATAATATATACGCGGATATGTGATTGAATAATTTTGTTTTATTTATTATTATAATACGGATGAAAAATAGAAGAGCTTATAATTAGTCTAATGTTATATTAATTCGACAAAAGAAAAAAAACAAAAAAATAATGAAAAATAAAATAATTGAGTAGGCAAAGTTAGCAAAAGGTTAATGCATTATGTACATAATACTTTCATTTTATCTATTACGCCAACGTACATTTAGAACGATTAATATAATTCTTTATTTTTTTTTTCTTCTCACGTGATGGTGTTTTTTAATCAAGAAAAGAACAAAAAAAGACTTATTTGGTAATCAATATTAATTTATTTATACCATTCATTTTATTGATTACGTAAGAAAGATAAATTTAAATCCTTTTTGTTTTTTTTTTGTTTTTTTGTTTTTTTTTTCAAAGATTTATGTATTTCTCAATTTATTTATTCTACTTGATAAAATTCATATTTTTATATTATATAATATGGACACGCGTGCATTATTAAAATTATTATGAAAGAGAAAAGATGAAAGATTGAAATTTATTTTAACATTTAGTTTTGAAAAAGTAATTAACATAATTTTAAAATAAATTAGATATTTTATTTTATTTTATTTTTTTTGAATAGATGAATTTATTTATAATTAGACAAAAATATAATTTGTAGGCGTAATTTTTTTTATTAGAATTAATCGAATGATCGAGAAAAGAAAATGTTCGAGCAATAAGATTGTTCGTACTTTTGAAAAGTTTCGAAGAAAACGACTCGGCTAATTTTTACTTTTACTTTTTTTTTCTTTTTTTTTTTT